GACGTCGAGCCTCGAGGGCTCGTACTCTTGGGGTGCATGTGGTCGGCGCGAGTCGGCAGATCGGCTCGCACTCCTTCTAGCGGGCGAAGATCCTGCCGAGGCGGAGCGTCCATGCTGCTCACGTCTCTCAGAGCGTCGCTCCCCCCCCCAATGGCGGCGCTACGGATGAAACGGGAGAGGCAGGGAACGTTCGGATGTGACTGGCCCCCGCAGGAGCTCACCAAAGGGGCAAGGGCATCGGGCCTGTGGAGTGCTGCCTCCAACCCTGCCCAAACGGCCCTCAGCCACCACGAGATGTATTACTTGAGCCAAAATGGTTTGAGCCAAATTTTCTTGAGCCAACATGGCTACGCAGACCACGATAATGATGGTGAAGACGGCACGCGGAGAGGAGGGGCAGGGATGGGAGGAGGGAGGAGGGGGAGGAGGGGGAAGAGGAGGAGGGGAGACGCGGGGCGCTGTCGCTTCAAAACGAAGACCCAACACCACAATATGGTTGGGGGAAAAACGGGTGACCCGTGTCTCCCTCGAAGCCGTGGAAAAGAACATGTGGGATTCCACGGGACAACGTAAGGCCATTCAGCCGCGCAAAAGCAACCAGCGTCACGCGCCACCCCCGAAACCTCGTGAGAAAAAACAACTGTCAAGTCGGGGTTCTGGAAGCCAACATGGCCATGCAGCCTCGCAACAACAACAGTTGACACGTGCCATCTCTGAAACTGTGTGGGAACAACCACTTATACATTCGGGAATCTGGGAGCCAACATAAGGCCGTGCAACCTCACACAACAAACGGGCGACACGAGTCGCCCCCGAAATTAGAAAAGCGATTGTAAACTTGGAATTCTGGGAGCCAACACGAGGCCATTCAACCTCACCAAAAACGACGGGTGACGCCTGTCACCCCCGAAACCGTGTGAGAAAAACCAATGGTAAATGTTGGATTCTGGGAGTCAACATAAGGCCATTCGACTTCACAAATACAATTGGTGACACCTGTCACCCTCGAAACTGCTGGAAAAAACAATTGTAAATCCTGGAACTCTGGAAGCCAACATACGGCCATTCAGCCTTGCAAGAAACAACCGGTGACACGTGTCTCCCCCGAGACGGGGTGATATGATGGGGATATGATAGGTATTATGTGATACGTGTTACATCTGAAATCGCGTGAGAAAAATCAACTGGAAATTTGGGACACTGGGGGCCAACATAAGGCCATTTAATTTCACAAGAAAACAACAACGGACGACACGTGTCACCCCCGAAACCGTGCGATAAAAACCAATGGTGTCTTCTGGTTTCTGGGAGCCAACATAAGGCCATTCAGCTTCACAAGAAGAACAACGGACGACACGCGTCACCCCCGAAACCGAGCGAGAAAAACCAATGGTAAATGATTGGGAGCCAACATAAGGCCATTTAATTTCACAAGAAAACAACAACGGACGACACGTGTCACCCCCGAAACCGTGCGATAAAAACCAATGGTGTCTTCTGGTTTCTGGGAGCCAACATAAGGCCATTCAGCTTCACAAGAAGAACAACGGACGACACGCGTCACCCCCGAAACCGAGCGAGAAAAACCAATGGTAAATGATGGATTCTGGGAGCCAACATAAGGCCATTCAGCCTCACAAGAACAACTGGTGACACCTGTCACCCTGGAAGCCGCGTGAGAAGAACCACTTATAAATTTTGACTTCTGGGAGCCAACAAAAGGCCAGTCAGCCTCACACCGCGCGCGAGAACTGGACGCCATGGCGCGCACGCGCGCGCAGGCGCGCGCGTACGTGCGCACAGCGTCCCAGTACGACGAAAACGACCTACTCGTCGACCGAAGTAGCATGCACATCTGCGCATATGCCTATGCATGCGCGTGCGTGCGTGTTTATATGCAAGTTTGTAGATACACATAGATGTGTGCATGTATCAATCGCATCGTTCGGTCCCCGTGGAAAAGTTTCCAGAGGGGACAATTGAAAAAACAGATTCCGAGGCGAATCAATGGCAAACGGGATCGGGGGGAGGGGGGGGTCAGAATTGTTCTAAGAGATTTTGGACATTACCAGGCTCCCGTTGAAAGTGCCATTGCACGACCATTGGCAGCCGCGCATTGTTGCGCGCCGTGCTGATGCCACGAATATTGCCAAGAGGGGCCACCAATAGGCCCCAAGAACGCTGAAGGCATATGGGAATGTGGTTCTGGGGATTGAACCCCTCTGCCCGGGATTGAACCCTTCTGCAGGGGATGGCCTTTTCCTCGGGGAGGGGGTTGGACCCCCCACCCCCCTTTGGTCTGGGGGGAGAGGGGCTGAACCCCCCCTCCCCCCCTGCCACCAGCGGCAGAAGGCGCTCTTTCATGAAGTCGGGCTCCGCACCGAAACGCATCGCCACTGCATGGGCAATGCGGCGCGATCCTCCGACCCCACCTGCTCGGACCCAATTTGGGAGGACTGGAATCTAGGTCACCTGACTTCGCACATCGCGCCCAGCGGTGCACGATCGTCTTCGCGCCCTCGCGCCCCTGTGCCGCCCCCTTGGAGAGGGGCACCCGCTTTCGCCCAGACCGAGGAAACTGGGACGTGATGGAGCAACGTGTGAACCACTCGAACACTTCGACGCTGGAGCATTGCGACGCTCGAGGCTCGAGCTTCGACGCCTGCGACGCGTGAGCAGCAGCAAACAAACATCGCCACTGCTGATTGAGTGGGGGAGGGGGAGCTGGGGGAGCGGGAGGGGGGAATGCGGGGGGGCAGGAGGAGGGGGAGGGGGAGGGGGGAAGGCGGAAGGAGGGGGGGAGCCGGGGAAGCGAGAGGATGGGGGAAGGCGGGGGGAGGGGAGCGAGAGGAGGGAGGGGAGCGGGGGAGCAGGAGGAGGGGGGAGGGCGAGACCATGGGCAATGGAGGGGAAAGAGGCTCCTCGCACCGCCCCGCCACGCCTCCGATTCATGTTCAGGCCTGGAGGTGTGAGTGTGTGCCTCCCCCCGAAAGAGGACCATCCGAGGCGCAGGAATCCTGGGCCCAGGATGGGCCTGGCCAAGGTCGGTCGGTGAGATGAGTACCCAGACCCCCTCTGGTCGTGGAACTAATCACGACGGAAATGTTGTTTCAAGTTCTGCCTGTGGAGACCCTCGTCGAGCCCCAGGACCGTGAGAAAACGGCTCGGATGAAAACCTGGCCCCTGGGACTGGGTCGAGACATCAGGAGGTCAACGTTATGAGAGAAAATGACGTCGGGGGTCCAGGTGGCTACGCCCCCCAGCTGAACCATACACATACACAGATCCTAGCCAGGCCCATCCTGGGCACAGAATGGGTGCAGATCCTCGCTAGGCCAAGGAGGCATGCGGTCGAGAACTTTTCTTAGAGGGTCGAGGCGGCGGCCCCGGCGAAAGGCCATACCCTGCCAGATGATGTCGCGTCGCTGCGCTCCGCGGGGTAGGAGGCTCGGAAAGGCTTGGGACGTTGTCCCTCGGGGACCGAAACGTCGACAGCGTATCGCGCCGAAGCGTGGTGGGCCAGAACGGGCGGCGCGACATGCCAAGCCAAAGCTCCGGACCGTACCCCCTCCCCCCTCCTTGGAGGGCGCCGAGTGTACACATACACCGATCCTGGCCAGGTCCATCCTGCGCCCAGGATCGGTGTAAACGCACTCCCCGCTTGGCCAGGGAGGAGGGGGAGGAGGAGCAGGAGGAGGAGGAGTAGGAGGAGGGGGAGGAGGAGGAATATTCACAAATCCTGAGCCCGGGATGGGCCCGGCCAGGATCACCGCAGGTGTACATAGTTCACGCCCTCTGACGCCCTCCCCCAGGGGCCCAGCATCCCGAGAATCCCACCCACGGTCGCGGCACCCTCTCGGCAACGCTGCCTCACCCCCGCTGTGGTCGACGGTAGGGGCGTCGCCTTGGCTCCTGAGGCACTCTACACCCACGTACGCAACCCACAGCGAACAGGAAACTCCGAACAGGCCGCCCCTGATTAAAATCAGAAGATAAAACCAGGCGGACGCGCTCGGGGAGAACCTGAAATAGGAGAGGGAGAAAGAGAGAGAGAGAGAAAGAAAGAGACAAGAGAAGAAACAGCAAAACAACAGCAGAACATGATAAGCAATATGAGTACCCTTAATCATTCGGAAGGGGGCCGCAGTTTGGAGGGCCAAAGACATAGGGATAAGGGGTCTGTTTCGCATGTCAAAAACGAAAGCAACCTATGTTTAGGGATGTCCTTCAACCCGTGGACCTAATTCGAACACGAGATCATTGTAACTTTACGGTTGGGGGCTCCAGCCCCCCACTGCTCAACCGTCACCCCACCTGCCACTCCTCAACCCCGGACGCGTCCGCACGCCAGGGCCCTGACGCCATCCGCGCCGCGGCACCCGCCCTGGGGGTACCTCCGGCGCTCCTCCTGGGCCCCTCGGACCTCAAAAGTATGTACTCCTGGACGCCTCCACGATGCCCAAGATGCCCTCCAAAACGGCTCCACCAGAACTCCTACGCAGCCAAGGGGCCTTGGGGGCCCTCCAAGCGGCCACCGAGCCTCCCGCAGATACCCCCGAGGGCGAATATCTCATGCTTTACGTGATTTGATCACTGTCGCTTGCGATCGTCTTCTGTGGTCTCAATATGATTCCAATATCGCATATCGGCATAGATATCCCCAAGAGGGGGCCAAGGAGCACTGCAAAATGGCCCCAAAGGATGCCATCAGAGCGTCCGAAGAGGGCCCAAGAGGCGAAGTTTCGGCCCTCAAGCGGAGTGGCCTAATCTAGGACCCCCTCCAGTTTGGGATGGATGGCCTCTAGCTCCACGGCCCCCGCGGCCCAAACAAAGGGGCCCCACAGAAGCCCCAAGAGGGCCACAACGGCAAAATGATGCCAAGAGGGCTCCACTTATCGACTCACCTTCTCCCGACTGTTCGTTTGAGCGCTGCTGAGGATACAGAAAGCGGTAAGAACTAAATGATCCCATCCACATCTATGGGGGCGGCGGAATGGCGCAATCCTCTTGTATCATGACCCCGAGCGACCACATATCGCACTTCTCTGTTAGGTCGCCCTGGAAACCCTCGGGCGAGAGGTACAGCGGTGTGCCGCGTATCTTGAGCGGCCCGCCGCCGTCCATAGTGCGATCCCGCATCATCTCCGAAATGCCGAAGTCAACCAGCAGCACGTGGGGGAGGTCGCCCCTGTTGGGGTCCGCAGACCTGAGGATCATCGTGTTCGCTGGTTTCAGGTCGCAGTGGATGACCCCGTTGGAATGGATGTACTCCAGCGCCGAAGACATCTGCTGCGCCGCCTCGCAGACCCACGGCTCGTGGAGCGGCCCCTTCTCGCGCAGCAGCGCCGCCAGGTCGCCGCCTTCCGCAAAGTCCTGAACGATGTGGAGGACCCGCTGCCTCTCGAAGGTCTCGTAGATGCGGACTATGTGCGGGTGGTCCAGCGCCTTGAGCACGTTGACCTCCGCCATCACCTTCTCCATGGGCACGGCGAGCCTCTCCGCGTCGATCAGCTTCACCGCGCGCTGGACGCCGAGGGCCTTGTGAAACATGAGGCGCACCTCTCCTGGGGGGAAGCCAACGTGACCGAGCACCGGGTCACCTGACTTCACGCATCGCGATCCCGCGACGTGCGAAGCGCGGTTCTCTTCGCGCCCTCGCGCCGCCCTGGGGAAAGTCCAACTCGGCAGCCCCAGCCGCCACGCGCGAACCGTGGTTATCTTCATGCGAACGCATGTGCACGTCTCTACATAGATAGATGTAGATGTACAAGCGTAGCATGTTATGCATGTTATGCTTAAGCGTGTTACTGCACTGTTGAAACATGCTCGTGTGTAGTTGTACATAAATATACAGATACACGCATGTGTATATGTCTCAGAATGGAGAGGGGGGCGAACGGTCTTACACCATCCCTGGGCGTGCGGGCGAAACGGGCTTCCGTGGCCATGATTATGCTGGTGTGTTGCTTGTTGTTAATTGTTGTTGAGGTTGTTGTTGAGGTTGTTGTTGTTGTTGTTGTTGTTGCTGCTTTTGTTGTTGGTGTTGTTGATGTTGTTGTTGCTGTTGAGTGCCCACTTCTACAAAAGAATGTTTGTCGATCCCCCCTGCCCGGTAATCATTGTATTGTTTCGATGTAAGTGCTTCTCCCGGGCCTCGTACCCTGTGGGTGCAGCCAGACAACGACGGCTCCCGCTCTACATTTCCCCATGACTAAATTATTCCCACATCGCGCTCTCGCGCGGGAGCTTCTCACCATTTCTGCAGGAGTCGCGCTCTCGTGTGGGACTTCCTCGCAATTTACGCGCACGCCGCGCTCTCGATGCTCAGGAAACACGCTCTCGCTGTGGATTGCCTCGCGATTTTTTTCGGAATCGCGCTGTCGCTCGAGACTTCCTCGCGACTCATGCAGGACGCACGCAGAACCTCATCACAGCCACGCGCCCAGGGACAGTGAATGACCGTTCGGCCCCCTCACTCTGATTATTGTTAATCACACCCCCTCCGGTAACCATGTCGGCTTCCAATTCTACTGCTTCTCCCAGGGCTCGCCCTAGATTTTTTACATGGGAAACTGAAATGTCACAAAAAAGTGCCCCTGGCCACTGGTTTACAACAAGAGCGGCTCCCGCCTGATACTTCCCCGCAATGTATCCCCAAATCGCGCTCTTGCGCTGGACTTCACAATTCATGCACCAATCTGGCTCTTGCGCGGGACCGCCTCGCATTTTTTTCTAACGCCGCGCCCTCGACACTCAGGAATCACGCACACACTGTGGACTTCCTGACGACTTATTTGGAAAGCGCGCTATCGTCCGAGACTCTTCGCGATCCATGCAGGACGCACGCTTCAGCAACCCGCCTGCCCCTTGTCCCTTCCTTCCATCCATCCCCTCCTCCACTGCCTTAGGGGCTGCACGAAATACGCGCTGCAAATAACAAAGATATACCCGTATTGGGGGTACGACCGGATACGAAATCGGCGGGCATCCAGAGCTCGAGATACATATTTGTGTTGAGTGGCGCGCGAGCAAATAAGAGCGAACAGTTTGAAAATCATGATTGGTGTTGTTGTTGTTGTTGTTGTTGAACTCCTACTTCGGAAAATCAGTATTGTTGATCCCCCTCCTGTAGCATATGTCTTTGTCACGTGAAGAAAGCCCTTACTGGGGCTCGCATCCAGTGTTTTATCAAGGTAAGTATTCCTGCTCGAACTATGTTGTTGCCCCCGTGGCTACAACAACAACGGCTCCCGCCTGACACTTCCTCGCAATGTATTCAAGAATCAAACTCTCGCGAGGGACTTCCTCACAATTATGCACGAATCGCGCTCTCGCTCGGGACTTCCTCGCAATTGATTCAGACGATGCGCCATCGGCGGTCAGGAATCACGCTCTCGTTTTGGGCTTTCTCACGACTTACGCGGGAATCGCGCTATCGCTCGAGACTTCCTTGCGATTCATGCAGGACCCACGCTTCAGCAACCCGCCTGCTCGACCTGGTCCATGGACCCGCCTTCCGACCTGCCTGCTATGGTTCTGCCCACCCGATGTGCCAGTCAGGTTATACCACTTGCGTTCTGCTCCTTGCCCCTCTCCCACCAATGTATATAATGCTCCGTTCTTCAACGTCCCCCTTTTCCATCCGTCCTCTCTTCCACTGTTGTAGGGGCTACACTAAATGCACGTGGCAGGCAAGGGGGTACGATCGAAGACGACGAGGGCGGGTACCAAGGGCTTGGGATATACGTATTGGTTGGCACGTGAACAGATATGAGCGATCAATATTAAAATTTGTCTTGTTGTCATCATTACTATGATTGTTGTTGTTGGTGTTGTTGTTGTGTTCTCACTTCTGAAGAAAAAAACTAATATTGATCCCACCCCTACGGTGACTATTCTCCTTTCTATGAAAAAGCCACCACTCTCGGGGCTCGCACCGTGTTGTTGGGCCCCGAACTATAACAACAACAACTCCCACCTGATACTTCCCCACAACGCATCCATCTCACAATCTATGCACGAATCCCGCTCTCGCATGGGACATTCTCCACGCTTAAATCACGCTCTCGTTTTGGCCTTTCTCACGAACTTCTCCCGCTATTCCTGCTGCACTAACGTTTCGGCAGCCTGCCTGCTCGACCTGGCTGCCTGGGCACTTCCCGACCCGCCCGGTAGGATCTACCCGCCCGATCAGCCCGTCTGGTTATGCCACGTGGTTTCTGCTCCCATCCCCCCTCGTGTTATTCCCGTGTTCCATACTTCTCCCTCCCCTTCCGTCCGCCCTTCCTCCCCTGTTTCAGGGACTGCACCAAGTGCACGCTGCACGTGAGGAAGATATACCCCCAGGGGGGCACGATCGAAGTCGAAGAAGACGGGCACCAAAGGTTTGGAATATACGTGTTGAATCGAACGAGTAAGGACGAACATGATAAAACTGCGTGTTGTTGAGTTTGTTGATTTTATTGTTTTTGATATTGTTGTTGTCGTTGTTGTCATTGTCGTTGTCGTCTCCTGCGACCGACCCCGCGACCCATCCGCGATACATTGAATGACCAAATCGGCGCCTGTGGCGGGCTCGCTGTGCACTTTTCACAAAATTCGGCGCCTGCGGTGGGCATGCTCAGAACCTCGCAGGCCGCAGACGACCCTAACTCTTTATGATCCGCAGCTGTGGGGGCTTTGGTGTGTGCATGTATATACACATATGTGTATGAATACACAGACGGTCGGGATAGTTTGCCCTACCGTGTCGCGGCGGCGGCCCCAACGACACGCTATGCCTTGAGAGCTAATGGCGCATCGCTGCGCTCCGCGGTGCGCAGGGCTCGGACAGGCTCGGGAGGTTGACGCCTGGGGACAGGGACGTGGATAGCACGTCGATCCCAACCGCGGTGGGCCTAAACAGGCGGAGCGTCACGCTAACAAAAAAACTCCGGACCGCATCTTTCTCTTTCTCTTTCTCTTTCTCTTTCTCTGTCTCTCACTCTCTCTCTCTCTCTCTCTCTCTCTCTCTCTCTCTCTCTTTATATATATATATATATACATACACACACATGTATATATATATATGTTATATATATAACATATATATATATACATATATATATATATATATGTGTACGTCCCCCCTCGCGGTTGCGGATGAATGGGTGGCGGGGTGGGCCGCGGTGGGTCGCGGGCTGGGCCGCGGGTGGGTCGCGGGCGGGTCGCTGGTGGGTCGCGGGCGGGTCGCGGGCGGGTCGCGGGCGGGTCGCGGGGCGGGTCGCGGGCGGGTCGCGGGCGGGGTCGCGGGCGGGTTGCGCGCGGGTCGCGGGTGGGCTGCGGGCCCAGTCGCGAGGGGGGGGTGACGACAATAAACACCAAAAGACGCACAACGACGAACAGCAAACAACAACAACACCAACAACAACCATAATAACAACAACAATCATTTTAAGACTGTTCGCTCGTCTCTGATCGAGGGTCATTCAACGTGTATTTCCCAAACCCTCGCTACCCGCCCTCTTCGTCTTCGATCGTACCCCTTTTGGGGGTACATCCTTCTTCCCAGCAGGCCGGGCCCCGGCAACAGAAGGCAGCAAGGGGGCCACGAAGGGCTACGTTGGGGACGCGAAGGGCAACAACGGGGCAACTGAGGGCGCAAGCGACGGGGGGCCACGAAGGGCAGCGCATCTGGGCCACTGAGGGCAGCAGCGGGGTCACAATGGGCATTGGGGGGGCCACAAAAGCCTACGCTGGGGCCACGAAGGGCAGCAACGGCGCCACTGAGGGCGCAAGCGACGGGGGGCCACGAAGGGCAGCGTCTGGGCCACTGAGGGCAGCAGCGGGGCCACAATGGGCAGCGGGGGGGGCGCACGGGGCCACACTGGGGCCACGAAGGGCAGCAATGAGGCCACTGAAGGCAGCACCCGGGCCACGAAAGGCAGCAATGGGGCGGGCCACTGGGGGTGCAAGCGCCTGGGGGCCACGACGGGCGTGTACATATACATATATACACACACATATATATATAATATATATATATATATATATATATATATATATATATGTATATATATATATACTAGTGTGAACCCGTGGATTAAGTCCACGGAATTGTGAGGATCGAGTGTTGGTGGCGCGCGCCGCGTTCGGCGTTCGCACCTGGCGCCGACTCTCCTTAGAAGTGGTGGTTCCGGCGGGGGAGGGTGGGGGCGGCTCGGGGCCGTCTTGGGCGGTGGGGGGCGCCTCTAGGGCCGTCTTGGGGGCCGTCTGGAGCCATCTTAGGCGCCATTTGGATCGTCTTGGGGCCATCTTGGGCTTTCCTGGGCCCCTCTTGGGCGTGTATTGGGGTCTTCTCGGGCCGTTCTGGGCACGCAGGCTTTCAACCACACTGTCCTTCCAGCTGACCAAATCGCCTTCGACCCTGCCCAGCACGGAGACCAACGGCTCCTCTCTGGAAAAGTGGACGACGCTGTCCGCGACGACCTCTGGCAACGCGCCTCGCAGGCGACGAGGGCCCACCTTAACTTGGTGGCGGCCCCACGCGCTGGAGCCTACTTGCAGGCGCCGCCGTGCCGGGCGCCGGGCACCGACTTTCCGCACAGCTCGATGCAAGTGGCGCTGCAGCGACGCCTTCGACACCAGCTGCTCGAACAGGAGGCACTTTGCCCGGCGCGCGGGGAGGTGATGGATGTATTCGCAGACCACGCGCTCACCTGCAGCTGCCGCGGTGACCGCACGAAGCGCCGCAACTGCCTCCGGAACCAAGCCTGGCACGAGGCGCTGGCCGCCGGCTACGCTGGGGCAGAACGCGAGCGCCCGGGTTTGCTGCCGCCGCGCGCGCCTGGAGAGGGCCCCCCGGCTGGCGAGGCTGGCGGCGACGACCTGGACGGCGACGGGAGGCGCCCCGCAGACGTCTTCGTCCCGCGGTGGCGAAGCGGCACGCCAGCGGCGTGGGATTTCGCTGTGACCTCGGGCCTCCGCGCGGAGTTACTCGCGGCGGCGGCGGCGGCGACGCAGCGGCGACCCGCTACGAGGAGTAGAAGCGCTTGCACTTGCACACGCAGCGCACATGCTCAGAGGTCGGCCTGACGTTCATACCGATGGTATGCGAGGCCCACGGCGGCGGCTGGGGCCGCGAGGCGCGACGCGCCTTCGCGGTGCTCGCAAAGCGCGCGGCCGACGTTACTGGAGACGACGCCGCGCTCGCGGCCGATCAGCTTGCCCAGCGATTATCGATGTCCCTGCACAGCGAAAATGCGCAGGCAGTGCTGCGGCGCCTCCAGCCGCGAGCGGGCGCGACGGCCGAGCGGTTGGCCGCGGCCAACGCAGCCGCCACGGCGGATGCTGTGTGGACCGTTCCCTGCCCGCCCCCGCCGTCGACCCCGCCCGCCCTTCCCGACGCCCCGCCGTTGTGACGGCCCCAGACCCTGAACGGCCAGCAGCCCCCCCGACGACCGCGACGACCTCTTGAACCACGACGACCCACGACGGACCACGACTTCCACCGACGCCACTCGCCCCCTCCGCCTCCCGCCCGCCCCTGCTGCCTTGCTGCCTTTGTCGCCCTCCTTCTCCTCCTGCATGTTGGCGCCTGCTAGCTGTGCTTTTCTTCCTCCTCCTCCTCCTCCTCCTGCTCCTGCTTCTCCTCCTCCTCCTCCTCCTCCTCCTCCCCCTCCTCCTCCTCCTCCTCCTCCTCCTCCTCCTCCTCCTCCTCCTCCTTTGGACCTGCCCAGCCTAGGGTGCTGGCTTGGCAAATGTGGGTTTTTAATGTTCGCGTCGAGTGCTGGAGGGTGTCCCCGTCCGACTCGGAGACCAAGGTCAGGGGCTTACAGTGCTCGCTGGTTCTCGTGTGCAGGAGTCGGGCGGTAGCTCTCATTTGCGAATTTGGGGTCCAGGTCTCTTTTCAAAGACCCTCAGGGTTGCATTATTCTGAAATTTCTCGTTTTTGTGTCAAATTCCTCGATGTTGGAGCGTTGGAAGCCAGAAAACGTGAGAAGGCGAAATAGTATACTATAACCACTGAGAATCAACGATTTGACAGTCCTCGGTCTCTCTCGGGACGGCTCTCGAAGTTCTCTTGGGCTGTTCTGGGGACCTCGTCGGAGCTTTTCGGGGGGCCTCTCAAGAGTCTGGGGTGTGTTGGAGGCCTCTGGAGGGTCCCGGAGTCCTCTCGGAGGTCTCTAGCGGCCTCCTGCTCTCGCTCTTGGGCTCATCTTTCGCCTGTTCTGGGGTGGTCTGGAGATGTCTGGGGCGCCTCTTCGGCAGTCTTGGGGCCATCTTTGGGGGCCTCTTGGGCGGTCTTGGGGCGGTCTTGGGGACCTCCTCGGCCGTCTTGGAGCGTTGGAAGCATGAAATTGTGAGAAGGCCGAAAAATCTGGGAAAAATGCAATAAACGATATTAGGTTACCTGGGCACTCACGGGAGGCCTCTCGGAGCTCTCTTGAGGTCTCTTGGAGGCCTCCTGGTAGTACGGTTGTTGTATTGTATAGATATAAATATGTATGTATGTATGTCTGTATGTATGTCTGTATGTAGGTAGGTAGGTAGGTAGGTAGGTCGATAGGTCGGTAGGTAGGTAGGTAGGTAGGTAGGTAGGTAGGTAGGTAGGTAGGTAGGTAGGTAGGTAGGTAGGTAGGTAGGTAGGTGTGTGTGTGTGTGTATGTATGCATGTACGTATGTATGTATGTAGGTCGGTCGGTCGGTAGGTAGGTAGGCATGCATGAATATGTGTATGAACGTATGAATGTATGTATGTATGTATGCATGTATGTATGTATGAATGTCTGTCTGTCTGCCTGTCTGTCTGTCTGTCTGTCTGCCTGTCTGTCTGTCTGTCTGTTTGTCTGTCTCTGTCTGTATGTATGTATGTGTACGACACTTACAATATGTAGTTGTTTCTTCGCCGATCTCCGTAGGCCCCCTCGCCCAGCTTGGGACCGCAGAAGTAATCCTCCGCGCCGCCGCTCTCCCTGCGGCTTCGCACCAGCAACTTGCGCGTGATCTGGACGGGCCCGCACCGCGAGCGGAGCACCTCCAGCCACCTCGCCCGCCGCCAGAACAACCACCATACACCGCTTCTCGAGGAAGAGAGCACTGTATAAACATAAGCGGGTTTTATGGATATGCGCTGCGCGCCTGGGGCAGCGCCGGAAGCGCCGCCATGGGGCCCACGCACCGATCCGAGAAATCCGCGCGGAGCCCCAAGAAATCATGCTGATGTGATTGCTTTGATTTTCGAGCTTCGGAGATATGCCCAAAGACCCCGAGAAGTCTCTGACCTCCTCGTGCAGCGGAAAAAATTAGCCTGGCGAAAGACCCAACCATATGCAGTTGTGAGTACCGCAATTGTGAATATCTTCTTCGGTGGCGTCCCCTATGGGGCCACGAAGCTCTGTCCTGAGTGGGTGAAACGCAGGGAGCAAAGGGCTGTGCTGGATGGTGGCGGACGCATGCGGGCGGTGCCACTGGGACTTTTGGTGGAGCTCCCTATGGGGCCACGAAACGCTGTACTGGGTGGCTGAAACGCAGGGAGCAAGGGCTGTGCTGGGTGGTGGCGGACGCATGCGGGCGGTCCCACTGGGGGCTTCGGTGGAGCTCCCTATGGGGAGGTAGGAGGAGGAGAAGAGGAAAGGAACGCGGGGACCGTCTCTTCAAAACGAGGACCCAACACCACAGGATGGTTGGGAATAAAAAGCCGCGGCGGACAGCTTCTGTCAGCTTTCGGCCTCGGGCAGGGTGCTCGTTGCGCGTGGTGACGAAGCGTGCGCCTTTCGTGCGCCTCTTTGACCCGCGGTGGCAGTTCAGGGGCCGCCGAGGGCCCCTCGAGGGCTCCTTTCCTGCAGCCCTCGAGCCCCAAACGCTCATTGCCTCCCCCGCTGCCGCTCGCCCGCTCCCAAGGGCCCTGGGATCGTTAAAAACACGGCGCGGGATGGCGACCTTGTCCCCGGGAAAGGGTCCAAACATCTTTCGAGCCACGCCGTGACCAAGTGCACGACGTGGGATGGTCTGGGGTGGTGCAATCCCAGACACCCGACGTCATGATTTTTCAGAACGTCGACCCCCAGAGGTCTGGACTCAATCCCCGGGATCGGTTTTTCATACCGAATGACTGTTTGACGGTCCCGAGGCCCAGTGAGGGCCCCCAAAGTCCGAAAATTGGGAAAAAGCATCCGTCGTGTTCGTTTCATGACTCGAGGGAGGTCTGGGATGCGAAGGTCCGCCCCTGCCTGCGGGCGGACAGACTGCCACATTCCACAGACGCCGCTCCCCAGGGGCCCATGGCAGGACTCTCTAGAAGCTGCGGACGTGGATGTTCCCCCCGGCGGCGCACCTGAGGAAGGCCTCGACCCACTCCTCCTGTATAGGCAGACAAAAGCAGCCACAGCCAAGCGTTCGAATCAGCATTTCGAGGCGGATCCAGCCGTGGCCACGACGAGGCCGAGGAACGACGCGGCCCGAACCCTCGACGCTCCCCCCCGTCCCCAAGAGGCTGTTTATTTAGCTTATGGCAAAGGTACTTGCATGGCAGTTCCCTCCCTCCCTTCCGCCACCATTTCCAACATCGCTGGGTCGAAAAGGCGTGCAAATGAGTCCCGACTTGCGTGAAGTCCAGAATCCTTTCGGGCCTCGCCACAACTCCCCTCCATCAAGTAAACTCGCCAGAGGACCCCACGCCTGTAAATCAGGCCTCCGAAAGACCGGAAGGGGGCTCTGAATTGGAAGGACCTCTGCAGCGAAGTGACCTCCAGCGGAGGCGCTCGATACCCTGAGATTTTATGTAGCCAAAAGCACCATCGATCCTACATAATCGCAGCTGGAGCCCAATCTTCCTGCGGCGTTCTTTTGGCTGGATCGATCTGGGATGGTCCAGGGGCCTGGTCGTGGGCAAAAACATAAAGTGTGAAAACACAACAACGTCCAGATTTCAGGTCATCCCTTGCCTCGATTGGACCCGCAAGGGCAGAGATTGAGGGTGGGAGGGGGGTTTGTGGCCCTGGGTAGCGGTAGCGCCTGGGCGGGTTGGGGCACGTCGGGGCGGGGGTGCGCTGCGATCGCCACAGCATGCGCATGCAAGAGCCCCGCCCAATGTACGAGTCGTCACCCGGGGGGAAGGGGGGGCCGGGTAACGACCGTTACGCGCCAATGGATCTCAAAAGCGATCTCGCAGAGTTCGCAAGGCGTAGCGAGAACACGCAGCGAGTAAAAAAAAAACGCAACGCCCAACTCTCCAGGAGGGTCGAGATTTTGGAGACGTCTTTGCCTTATCTGAGCCTCCCGGTCGCCATGGCTATAGAATATAGGAGAGAGCGTGATCCACCGCCGCTTTACTGTGGAAAATTGCCAGCCTTTTCCTCCGGAGCCCGGGGGTCGCCCCCCCCCCCCCCCCTCCGAAAATCCTCCCCCCCTGCTGGACCCCCCCCCCCCCCCCCCCCCCCCCCCCTCTCCGGGCAAAACCCCCCCCTCCCCTAAACCCTCCCCCCCCCCATCCTCTCGAAAACCGGGAGGGTCACTATCGGTTCGAACCCCTCCCCCCCCCCCCCCCTCCGGATCTGGAAAACCGGGGGGGGTCACTATCGAACCCCCCCCCCTCCGGATCTGGAAAACCGGGGGGGGTCACTACCGGTTCGAACCCCCCCCCCCCCTCGAAAACCCGAGGGGGTCACTACCGGTTCGACCCCCCCTCCCCCACGCACCGCCAGCAAACGACTCCCGGTCCCTACCACCGTCCGCATCACATCCCCCACTGTTGTTCCCAGCACCACTGTCCTCACCACCACTGTCCCCACTGGTTCCACCACCGTCCCCACTGTCCCCACCAGTGCCCCCACCACTGTCGCACTGTCCCCACTGTTCCCACCACTGTTCCCACCACGGTTCCACTCTCCCCACTGTCTCCACGGACCCAACCACTGCCCGACTATCCCCACTGTCCCCACTGTCCCACTGACTCCTCCGCTGTCCCACTGAGCTGTCCCACTGTTCCCACCACTGTCCCCACTGTCCCCACCACTGTCCCCACTGTACCTCTGTCCCATTGTCCCACCGCCGTCCTCGCCACCGCCTTCACCACTGTCCCCACCACCATTGTACCCTCCACTGTCCCACTGTTTCCACCTCATTCCCACTGTCCCCACACCACTGTCCCCACCACCACCGTCCCCACCACTGTCCACTGTCCCCCCCGTTCCCACCATTGTCCCCACCACTGTCCCCACCACTACCGTCCCCACCACTGTCCCACTGTCCCACTGTCCCCACCACTGTCCCGCTGTCCCCTCGCCACTGTCCCCACCAACACCGTCCCCACCACTGTCCGCACCCCCACTCGGTTTTTCGAGGGGGGGGGGGAGGGGGTTCGAACCGGTAATGACCCCCCCCGGTTTTCGGGGGGGGGGGGGGGGCTCGAACCGGTAGTGACCCCCCCCTTTTCATGATGAGCGGGGGGGGGGGGGGGAGGGGGAGGGGTTCGAACCGGTAGTGACCCCCCCCGGTTTTCCAAAGGGGGGGGGGGGAGGGGTTCGAACCGGTAGTGGCCCCCCCCGGTTTTCCGCCAGCAGCGGTAGAACACGCTCTTTCGAATATAGACGTCTGGGTATTCTTTCTGGTCGGACCGCGCTACAGGGACAGGTCCTGGGGCCGATCGCTGGGCCCGCGAGGCCGAGACCTCTGGGCGTGCTGAACAAATCAGGGCGGAGGCTTTTCGCTAAATCCAATCGGTGGCGACAAACATATCCGTGTCAGCGGCCTCGCGGGCCAGGCCCCTGGGCCGCGACCCAACGCCGCGGATGCTCCGCGCAGAACGTATCCGCGCGACCGCGTATCCGCGGGATCCCGCCCCAGAATCTGGACGGCGAGGGCGCGGATACGGATACCTTCGCCGCTCGTGACCACAGGTCGTCTCCAGCTTCTGTGGCAATTCACGGGGGCCTCCCACATCATCTTGCCAGCAATTGCAAGTCGACGCCGGCCGACGCTAATCGAAGCGAGTCGATGCTGCATCGATGCTACATCGACACTCATCGACGCTACATCGGCGCTACCTGATCGACTACCAGACGCTAATCGACGCGAGTGCACTGTGAAGACGGGACTGCGAGGGTACACAAGGCTCCCATGATGTGCTACCGACCTGAGGTCATCCCTGGCCCTGGCCTTGACTGGACCCGCGAAAAGGCAGGGCTCGCAAGGGGTCGCGAGCTGTCCTCCTCGACGTGCTCCGGCGCCTGTTGGTCCCCCACACGGCACAACTGGGCGCACGCGCCGCGCCGGCGGAACGCGGCCCGGCGCAGCTGCGTCCACAGCAAGGGGAGCAGCCTGGCGGGAAAGCCCCATCGGTCCTCTGGGATCGGGAGCCCATGTCCGGGAGCGGAACAAACGCGCCACAAAAAAAAACGCACCTGCAAATATCCACGTTATTTCTGGACGCGAAACTGACCACTCGCTATGAAAAGCCAAAGACGCGTGCTCGCCGATACACACAACAAAAACTCCACACGAAGAGGCTGGTATGAAAAACGCAGGTCCTGGATGAAAGCGACAAAAAAATCATGTGGAAAACGCAAGGACACGCTCATGTGTAAAACGAAAAGGTCGACCCGCGCGGGGGAACATAACAAGCCCTCGACGCATGGAGAACACCATTGCTGGTAGCCAGTGAGGCTTGTGGGCTCATGATGTTTTCATATTACACATGATAACTCAGAATTTCGAGCTACCAGGGCAAAGGGCGGCCAAAGATAACTCCTGACTCGGGCCTTCCGTTTTCACACCGTGGATGCCCCCGATTGAACTCAACTCGAATTCTCCTGGATTGCACCCTGCCCAATGTAAAAACTGTCCAACACTCTCTTGGAACAAAAACTATTCTGGATCTGGTGGCTCCAAAATCTTCCTGGATCGCACCCGGACAAGGTCTATCCCGGATAGGCTGCATAACTGCTACAGGCACATTTCCCTTCCCTACCTCGTACCACCTTGGATCATCGGACTTCGCGCCTATCAAAAGATGGATCACATTTCCCATACCCACGACGTCATTCTGTTTCATAACGCCGACCCCTAGGGGTCTCAACCCATTCCCCATGACCAGTTTTCCATCCGGAATCGGCCAGCCCCCTTGCGGGGCCACCAGGCTGCGAGGTTGAGGATTGAAGCTCCTTGTGCCAGTTGCAGCTTCCAGTTTCCACTGTTACGGTCTTGCTTTCTGCTTCCTTACTATAAATTGTTGCTGAACGCGCGACGGGGGGGAGCCCCAAGCCAGAATTCAAACCACGCCCAAATCGCGTTGTCTGAATTCTTGAGGGGACAAATAAAAATATATGATATTCGCGTCCCCGAGCCATAATCACTAGTAAAGCATACCATACTCGCGTCCCCGAGGCCATACATTACGCAATAGTCGCGTCCCCGAAGCCATATGATTTTGTAAATTACAATAATCGTGTCACCGATGCCATACACCCTCGTAAATTACGCATATTCGCGCCCCCGAGACCAGAAACCCATCTAAATTACATAATATTCGCGCCCCCGACGCCATAAACCTTTGAAAATTAAATAATGCTCGCGTCCACGGTGGCATCAGCTTTAATACATTACACCATAGTTGCGTCCCCGAAGCCACAAACCCTCGCAACTTACATAATAGTCGCGTCCCCGAGGCCATAAACCCTAGTAAACTAGACAATCGTTGCGCTCCCGAGGCCATAAACCTGTGTAAGACGCAATAATTGCATCCCCGAGGCCACAAACATTCGTAAAGCATGCAAGTTCCGCGTCCCCGAAGTTATAAGTTATAGCCCGTCGCAAATTACCTAATATTCGAGCCACCGAAACCATAAACCCTCATACATTAATATTGGCCGTCGCGTGAAGTTCCGACATTGTTTCACGTCAGCGTCCAAACATCCGAACACAGCTCTGGCAATTCCCATTCTAAGAGAGGGGGCCGGCGGCATGGGGGCGAAACCCTTACAGATAGTTGTTCGACGGTCCCGAGGCCCGGTAAGGGTCCCCAGAAACCCAAACTTGTGAAACAACTCCGTCAAGATTTTGTCATGACTCAAGCGGGTCTGGGTTTGTCGCCTGAAGAAGGCTCATGTGGCAAATGACCGAAACACGTCTGCGATCAGCCCCGCACCACCCCCCAGCCGTGTGGGAACCAGCGCCGTCCCTGGGCATTCCCAGACGGCGCATCCGCTTGTGGCGTGACCAACCCCTTCCCCCCCTCTCCGCCCCCCGCAAGGTCATGCCCGTAATCGCAATACTCAGCATCGAATCGGACACTCCCAGACCCCCTCGAGTCACGAAATTGGCCTGACACAGACCCAACCATATGCAATTCTAGATACCGTCGTTGTATGTACCGCATTCCGTGGAACTCCCTACGTGGCCATGAAACGTGTGAGGGCTGTGCCAAAATGGGCGCGGCGGGCGCATTCGAGCGCAGTCGCTGGAGCTTTCGGTGGAGCCCCCTATGGGGCCCCGCAACGTGTGAAGGGTGTGCTGAAATGGGTGCGGCGGGCGGGCGCATGCGAGCGCAGCCATGGGAACCTTTGACGGAACCCCCCTGTGGGGCCGCGAAACGTGCGAAATGTGGTGCCAAAATTGGAGCCGCGGGCGCATACGAGCGCAGCCACTGAGGTTTTCGGTGGATCCCCCTACTGGGCCACGAAAGCGTGTGAGGGGTGTGGCCTAGATTGATGCGGCGGACGCATGAGAGCGCAGCCAGTGGGGTTTTTGGTGGAGCTCCCCGTGGGGCCACAAAGCGTGA